GAGAAAACACCATTGCCACATGGGTCTACTTGAGTCCATTCATCCTGGACCTCACATCTCCAGCTTGGACCCATTGTTCCAATTTACCTGCCAACATATCTGCACCCATGTGTGATCTTCCTCATGCTTCTGAGGACATTGGACTATTTTCCAGCCAGGTCCTCCCTATAGCACACAGCCTTGAACTTAATCCCAAACAGGAACCAAGAAGAGCAGAAGGCTCAATTTTTGAGGCAGTCTGTGCTGAGACCACAGGACCAGTCACCATACCATTCTTATGGACCCTTCTTGATGCAGTGCGTCAGGAATGGAAATCATCAGGGTCAGTAGCGCCCCCAGCAGAACAACTAGAAAACATGTACAGAGTCCAAGAGAGAGATGCAGAGTTTCTTCTGCAACACCCATGGTGCAACTCTATTATTCTAGAGCAGGGGTGTCCAACCTTCTGGCTTCTCTGGGCCACATTGGAAGAAGAAAATTTGTCTTGGGCTGCACATTAAATACACAAACACTAATGAAAGCTGATGAGTTGCTAAAAAAAAAAAAGGTTTGTGCATAATTTTCGTGATAACTGCTGCCACAGATAAGCAAAAAAGTCCTTGCATAATCCTAACAATGTGGTCCCCCATTCAGGGAGTCTTCTAAAATCTTTGAGCAGGTCCCAAGTTTGTGATCACTAATACAGAAAATGAGCATATCTAAGTTATAAAACTTCATTGTGTTTTTGATATTTTTATTATACAAGTAGAAAAAAAGAGGGCAACATAAAGCTAGTGGGATATTTGACTGCATTTGAGAAACCAGTACATCAATATCTGGTTCAATGGAAGCAGTTGCAGTTCTCTGAGTACTCAAGGTACTCATCAGATACTCTGGTTCTAATTTTACTCTTAGCGTGCTTCATTCTTGAAAATAGTTGTTTATAAATGTAGGTGCTGCCAAAAAGCAAAGACATGAATAAGGCATGATTGTGAAGCGAGGGATATTTGACTCGGGAAAGATGGGCCTATAAAAATCCATGATCAAATTTTTCTTTTAAATTGAATGCCAGATTGCAGCTCTATGCATTCAATTTGAAAATTGGCAGGTAACATATTTAAATTGACCCCTCCCCCCCAGGAACCACAACTCTCTATAACTGTAGACACCTCCCTATTCAGTTGGGGAGTCCACTGCTACTGTTCTACAATCCAAGACAATGAGGCCCACGAACAGCTTCAAACTGCATAAACTTTCTAGAACTTCTAGCTGTACAGAAAGCCTTACTCACTTTTCAAACCATAATCCAGTGCCGACAAATACAAATAATTACAGACAAGACCATGGCAGTTGCCTATATAAACAAACAAGGGAGAACCAGATCAGGTCCCCTTGCTTTTCTCACCACCAATATCTTGCACTGGTGTACCAGTTGACACACCATGCTCTCTGCAATCCATGTAGCTGATACCGACAGCATTCTGGCCGACACTTTCAACAGAACCTTCACTGCTTTTTGCATTGATCCTCCCTATCTCATCTTTCATAAAGACAAGGAATACTCTGCCCTGATCCCACATTCTTCCCAAAAGAAGTTTCTTCTTTCCACTTCATCGAGACTGTTGTCCTCCCAGCTTTCTTTCAAGCCCCTTCCAACACAGTAAAGCTAGCCCTCCATTCCTTGGATGTTTGTAGGACTCTAGCCTTTTACAAATCTAGAACTCAACCCATCAGACAATCATAGAGGCTTTTCACTGGCTACAGTGGTCCACACCAAGACTCTGTCATTTCCTCTCAAAGACTCTCTAAATGGATAGTTCATACCATATTCCTAACATATGAACTCTGGCCTCCAACTGTGAGGCCCAGTCAGAACACATTTCACCAGAGCGACAGCAATCTCCACAGTCTTATACGAAGGAGTGTCCCTTAATGATCTGTGCAGAGCAGCAGCTTGGTTGAATCCCTTGACCTTTATTTGCCAGTACTGCCTTGATGTTCGAGCCAGAGAGGACTGCACCTCCAACAGAGCCGTCCTCACTTTACTCCAGTGAGTGACACTACCCTCCTCCAAGAATTAAGCTTGCCAGTCACAAAGACCACAAAGATCTTACCTGTAACTGTCATTCTTTGAGTTGTCATCTGTGCATTCGCATATACCCACCTGCTATCCCCACTAGGATTGCTTTCTGTCACAGCCTTAACATGTCTCATAATGGGACTTACCAAATGGCGGTCTTATTCTTTAGAACTGAGGCCTCAGTGGGAGCCCCTCCCCTCATGCTGGGTGTGCTTAGAGGCTGAACTCCCACCAAATAATAATTAATCAGCTTTGGAATCTTCCCAAAAAAATGGAATCTTCCCAAAAAAATTCCACACATGGGTACAGAGCTCATGTGTGTGAGGTACAGATGACCTCTCAAAGAACGACAATTGCAGGTAAGAAACCTGCCTTTTTTGCTTTCTGACTGTCAAGGCTGCAGAGAAAGGCCTTGAAATATGTCACCAGGAATTTGTGAAGTTTCAGAATGAACTTACTGAACAAGGAATGTCAGTAACTGGAAAACTGGGTTCCAGTGTCCTGCACAAGGCTCCCTGAGCTATTTTCTGTACTCTGCAACTCTTGTTCCCTCCTCAGTCTGCTTTCCTCTCAAGCATCATTGCAAACCCCACCCGCTTTGCCTGAAAATTACTCCTTGGCAAAATGTCCCAAGGTCCTTAAAAGAAGAAATATGTCAAATCAGTTTCTGCAAGTTTTATATTTCACTTTCTAATTTCACTTGTGCTCACAATTAGAATTGCCTGATCTCATAACTTGGACACATGCATTCTGGAAAAGAAGAAACATGGTGTGTTATTTTTAGTTTACCATATATTTTGGCATATAAAGCAACTCGCATATTAGACAAGGTCAATATTTGGGGCTGTTTTTCTGGTGTTTCTCATATGTCAGGCTTGTAAAACGGCCCTCAGTTTTTGCTTTCCTATTTTTGGTTTCAAGAGTCATCTTACACACTGATATATATGGCAATAACATGTGGAACAAGCAATCCAAAAGTATGTTTCAGAAAAATATCCTTATATATCAGTGTACAAGGCATCTCATGTATAAGATGAGGTTAGTATTTAGGGCTGTTTTTCTGGTGTTGGGCATATAGGATGCCCCCCCCCCCCCCATCTTTGCTTTACTATTTTTGGTTTCAAAGGTTGCCTTATACATCAGTATATACAGTATATCACAGAAGTGAGTACACCCCTCACATTTTGTAAATATTTTTTTATATCTTTTCATGTGACAACCCTGAAGAAATGACACTTTGCTACAATGTAAAGTAGTGAGTATACAGCTTGTATGTAAATTTGTTGTCCCCTCAAAATCACACACAGTCATTAATGACTAAACCGCTGGCAACAAAAGTGAGTACACCCCTAAGTGAAACTGTCCAAATTGGGCCCAAAGTGTCAATATTTTGTGTGGCCACCATTATTTTCCAGCACTGCCTTAACCCTCTTGGGCATGGAGTTCACCAGAGCTTCACAGGTTGCCACTGGAGTCCTCTTCCACTCCTCCATGATGACATCACGGATCTGGTGGATGTTAGAGACCTTGTGCTCCTCCACCTTCCGTTTCAGGATGTCCCACAGATGCTCAATTAGGGTTTAGGTCTGGAGACAAGCTTGGCCAGTCCATCACCTTTACCCCCACCTTCTTTAGCAAGACAGTGGTCGTCTTGGAGGTGTGTTTGGGGTCGTTATCATGTTGGAATATTGCCCTGCGGCCCAGTCTCCAAAGGGAGGGGATCATGCTCTGCTTCAGTATGTCACAGTACATGTTGGCATTCATGCTTCCCTCAGTGAACTGTAGCTCCCCAGTGCCGGCAGCACTCATGCAGTCCCAGACCATGACACTCCCACCACCATGCTTGACTGTTGGCAAGACACACTTGCCTTTGTACTCCTCACCTGGTTGTTGCCACACACGCTTGACACCATCTGAACCAAATAAGTTTATCTTGGTCTCATCAGACCACAGGACATGGTTCCACTAATCCATGTCCTTAGTCCACTTGTCTTCAGCAAACTGTTTGCGGGCTTTCTTGTGCATCATCTTTAGAAAAGCCTTCCTTCTGGGACGACAGCCCTGCAGACCAATTTGATGCAGTGTGTGGCATATGGTCTGAGCACTGACAGGCTGACCCACCACCCCTTCAACCTCCGCAGCAATGCTGGCAGCACCCATACGTCTATTTCCCAAAGCCAGCCTCTGGATATGACGCTGAGCACGTGCACTCAACTTCTTTGGCCGACCATGGCGAGGCCTGTTCTGAGTGGAACCTGTCCTGTTAAACTGCTGTACGGTCTTGGCCATCATGCTGCAGCTCAGTTTCAGGTCTTGGCAATCTTCTTACAGCCTAGGCCATCTTTATGTAGAGCAACAATTCTTTTTTTCAGGTCTTCAGAGAGTTCTTTGCCATGAGGTGCCATGTTGGACTTCCAGTGACCAGTATGAGAGAATGAGAGTGATAACACCAAATTTAACACACCTGCTCCCCATTCACACCTGAGACCTTGTAACACTAACAAGTCACATGACACCGGGGAGGGAAAATGGCTAATAATGCCCAATTTGGACAGTTTCACTTAGGGGTGTACTCACTTTTGTTGCCAGTGGATTAGACATTGATGGCTGTGTGTTGAGTTATTTTGAGGGGACAGCAAATTTACACTGTTATACAAGCTGTATACTCACTATTTTACATTGTAGCAAAGTGTCATTTCTTCAGGATTGTCGCATGAAAAGATATAATAAAATATTTACAACATGTGAGGGGTGTACTCACTTCTGTGATATACTGTACGGTAAGTGGTGTCCATATTTGAGCTCTGAACTTTAGCATGGCATATATTGTGATTGAGATGGACTGCTTTCAGGCCTGGATCCTAAAGTCATCCTACATAGTGAAGTTGTCATAAACCATGTTGCCTGTGCTCTTCTGATTACCGTCTCTCATTTCTTGCAGCATGCTAGACATATTTCCTACTTTGGTGTCTCTTGCAAATGCAAGTCTCCCTCCGTCCAGACGGTTTGATGGTATGGATATCTCTGAGGTCCTTCTTGGGCAATCATACAAAGGACACAAGGTATGGACTGAACCTTCAACATAAAGGCCAATCTGAGATGCTTGCAAGGAAATAGTTTGGCTTAAATTACATTGATAATCATTATTTTGCTCATCAGTGGTGGTAAATAGCAGGGTTTTTACTAAGTGCCTCTGATCACATTACACCTGAAACACATGTACATGTAACCGATTGGCGTATGTAAATATAGATCTTAAGGTTAAGGTTGCGCTTCCATACCAATGTGAGATGAGTTGTTAGAAGCAAGTTGGGAAAAAGAAGAAAGAATGAACATTGACTCACAGAAATTATTTACTATTTCAGAGGAAAAGGGGTCTAAGGAAGGTCTTCTACAAAATGTCATGGTAATTCAGCAGAAGGTTCATATGCCAAGGCTACAGGAATAGCAGTTTGCAAAGTAATGACGGAAACAAATCTTGTCTTCATGAAAACAGTTGTGTTGCTTCTATTCCCAGGCTGTGATGGGGGTCTGGAAAACACCTTGTTGGATCCCCTTGAGCTTCCTGATAATGTGACAAAAAACCAACCCGGGTATGCCTGACCAATTTAAAATTGAGACATGACTATCTACTTGACTGAAGGTGAACTGAGTCGGGAGAAGTTAGGTCAGTGATGGTGAACCTTTTAGAGACTGACCCCCAAACTGCAACCCAAAACCCACTTATTTATCACAATGTGCCAACACTACAATAAAACCTGAAAAGTGAGGTTTTAGTTTAGAAAAAAACAACTCAAAGCCAGTTCAAGCAAATATATGTATATCCTTGGCAGCGCAATGACCGGCCATGTGAAAGCTCGGACAAGTCACTGCTAATCAGTCGCGGCTTGTGATGTCATTTCCTTGTGCCACTACTCCTTTCCGAGCATGCGCATGGTACCTATCTGCGCTGTTACCCAATGCTCGGCTGCTGGGACATGCTGAGGCAACTTGGTTCATGTGCCAACAGAGAGGGCTCTGCATGCCCGCTGTGGCATGCAGGCCATAGGTTCACCACCACTACCGTAACCCTATCCTGCTGCACTCCCCTTAACCTACTATAGGGCTAAAGTTCCATATAAAAGAGGGCGATTTTGAAAAGGCCTTCCTTGAGTAGCTCTTTCTGCACTGCTCATCCTTTCTGCCCATTCTAAACACATTCCAACCATCAAAATCATGCCTCGACACCTCGTTTTTGTAACCCTAACCCTGCCCTGGTGCACATCCCCTAACCCTAATACAGGGCTAAAATACTATAGAAAAGAGGACGATTTTGAAAAAGCCTTCCTTGGGTAAATTTTTCCACCCAGCTCATCATTTCTGCCCATTCTAAACAGAGTCCAACCGTCAAAATCATGCTAGTACACCTCGTTTTTCTAACCCTAACCCCACCCTGGTGCACACCCCTAACCCTAATACACAGCTAAATTCCAGTCAAAATAGGACGCTTTTGAAAAAGCCTTCCTGGAGTAGCCTTTTCTGCACAGCTCATCCTTTCTGCTCATTCTAAACACATTCCAACCATCGAAATGATGCCAGGACACCTCGTTTTTGTAAGTCTAACCATACCCTGCTGCACACCCCTAACCCTAATATAGGGCTAAAGTTCCATAGAAAAGAGGGCGATTCTGAAAAATGCTTCCTTGAGTAGCTGTTTCTGCACACCTCAACATTTTTGCCCATTTGAAACACATTCCAACCATCGAAATCATGCCAGGATACCACATTTTTGTAACCCAAATTCTACCCTGGTGCACACCCCTAACCCTAATATAGGGCTAAAGTTCCATAGAAAAGAGGGCGATTTTGAAAAAGCCTTCCTTGAGTAGTCTTTTCTACACAGCTCATCATTTCTTCCCATTCTAAACACATTCCAACCATCAACAACATACCAGGACACCTCGTTTTTCTAACCCTTTGATTAGGGTTTGATGGTGATCCTTTTAGAGATCGATCACTCAGAGTGCCTCCCAAAACCTACTTATTTATCGCAAAAAATGCAGCACTGCAATAAAACCTGAAAATTGAGGTTTTAGTTTAGAAAAAACAACTTGCAGCCAGTTCAAGCAAATATATATATATATCCTTGGCAGCGTACTGACCAGCCATGGCATGGGCATGGCCCCTGTGTGCACTGTTACCTGATGCTCAGCTGCCGGGGCAATGCTGTGGCATCTTGGCTGTGTGCGACAGAGAGGGCTCTGCGTGCCTGCTGTGGCACGCGTGCCATAGGTTCGCCATCACTGAGTTAGTTGTTAAGCTCCCTAGATCCCTGTTGGACATCTGTTTTGAAAATCTTATGCTAATGTAGAGGAAAATTTAGCTGAGATCAAAAAGAGGGTTCTAGGTTACTTTTGAAAGAGTGCGAAAAACTGAATTAGTAGCTGGTTTGTCCTTTGCCATTTCAAAAGGATTCCTAATTGCACAAAAGGAATTCACAGTAGGTGCCATGTGTTAACGCAGGGTGAAGGGTCCTCTTCCTAGTTGCTGAAAATGATTGCCACTTTGTGTATGGAGCTCCTTTCTAAGCCTATCTCCTGCAAGAGCTCTGAGATGGCCAATGCAAGATGGAGCTTGGGTTTCCAGATCTGGAGTGACTCCGTAGGAATCCGAGAAGTCTTTGCAGGTTCTGGAGCCACTGTGCTTTGTGTGCCAGCAAGGGCTGAGCTTTAGGTTTGAGGTAAGGAAGTGTAAATGCCAGCTTCCTTGTACATCCTAATCCTAAACCTTCAGCTGCTGCTTAATTTTATTTATTGACTGTTAATTTGGGGTTGGGGGGTGTTGCTGCTTTTAGCTTGTTCAGATGTTTTACTGATTATTTTTCTAATCTGTTCTGGGCAACTCCTTGAAGGGGAAGAGTGGAATAAAATAAATTAAGTAAATACATAATATAAATAGCCCAAGATGTCCTGGTGCCTGAGGCAGAAAATCCAAATGGCATTCCCTGTGGAGGTAAAAACATAACAAGATGTGGAATACTTGCTATTAAAGACTTTCCTTTAATCAGGGCTCTGCAAGTTTTGGCTGGTTTTGGCTCTCCCAAGAAAAAAGGGGGCCTGGTTTTGGCTGTGACAGCAAGCTAAGCTTCAGAAGCACTTGAAGTATCTCTAAGGCCAGTACTACTACATGGGCAAATGGCCTGCACTTCTTTCACCCTGTCTCAAGCTCCAATCTGAGTAGGAAGGTCAGTAGCTTGTCTTGTTACTTGAGCCCCTGAGAGGTTCAGACAGCAGTGAGAAGGGGATGCCTGCCAGAATGTAAAACGTGGTCACTACGGACAAGCTGAGGATGCCTGTGTGCCCTTAACCCACCCATCACCTGAAGCAGGCTGACTCACAGTACCTACTGGTGGTGTCGGCCCTGATCTTAGGTTTTCTCCGAAGCTTGAATCAGTGATACGTAACAGACACCCTTGAATTGTAACCATATGTGAAACCCGCTTCACATCCGCTTATTGATCTTTTACATCAGATTCTTCATTATAGGTAATAACTTCAAATTCTTCATATGTATTCTTGTATGCGGTTCTTCTGCCACACATGTTGACAATTGAGGCTCTGTCACGAATCCCATACTGTAATGCAGTACTATGATGCATACCCAGTCCCTTGTTGGGCTGAATTTTTAGTTGCTTCCAGTCCTCCCACATTCACTGTCAAAAAGTATACAAATACCCTCTAGGCTCATAGAAACAGCGCGAATCAGAAGGGGTCTCCCAGGCCACCTAGTTTGACCCCCAGCTCCAGCTGTGTCTCACCGTATCCCATTTTTTCTTCTAACTTTGACCTTCTGATGATTTGTGCATGCCTTTGAATCTCTCTTCCCAAACTGGTGAGCTACCTCCTTCTGGTGTCTGCAGCACCATGTGAATTCTCTGCTCTGTGGCCCAGACCTGTTCTAGCTGTCACAGTCTGGACTTGGAAAAATGCACCTAATCTGTTACTGTTTAAAAGAATGCTCTGTTGTGTCCACATGCGCTTAGAAAAATGGTGGTTCAGGGATGAGCTTTTTGTTATGCACTGTGATCAGAAGTATGAGATGTTCACCCTTGGTTTGCACAGATTAGGAATTACAAAAGATGCTTTTTCATTACTCTGGCAAAATGCCTGTTGCACAGAAGAAGCTTTAAGACACAAAGGACCACTTGGCATGCCTGCTTTCAAATCAGTGAAATTGAGGCTGGCATAGTGAATTGAGCATGAGTGAGCTAGAATCACATTTTCTTGCTGGAAATGGATAGGTCTTGCTGGATTCTGGCTGTAGTTCAGAATCTTTATTCTTATTTATAAACCGTATTCTATTTAGCAGATGCTTTGAGAAATTCCATGGTTGTGGAATGCAGTGTTCAGGGAAAAGAGAGGAATTCTTAAGACCTGCCATGGTACATTCCTAAGTCCTTGCACACACAGTTAAAGTTCATTAATTTCAGTGGAAGATATTTCCAAATAAACTTTTAGAATTTGATGGTATCCACTATGATAAGTGGATGTGGTTGGACAACACAATATTATATCTTGTGCAACACAAAGATTGAAAAGATCAATCCCAGAGACTCTAGTGCACATTTGGTATGTGCTGGTACACACTGGGGGTGATTTACATAACCACTGCACCGCCATTGCTTATTGTGTTGCCCAGATCTGGGCAGCATGTCTTGTTGGATGGGTGAATAAACCTACAAAGCCTCATGTGTTATCTGAGGACTGAGTAGCTCTCAAAAAAGTCGTGTTGCTTGGGTTCAGGATGATATGATAAGCCAGGCAATATTTATGCAGATAACCCAGCTCATAACAAGTGATAGCAGTAGGTTGTGCATATGCAAACCTGGTTGGTGCACTTGTGAATCAAAGTGATTTCAGAAGTGATGCTTCAAAGACGTTTTAGGCTGGATTGCCTAACTTATGAACATTATTAACATGGGGTACAGAGATACATTTCAATGAGATAGTGAAAAAAAGCATATTTGCATTCTATGATGTTTGCAGCATTTGTGGAAACAACTAAAGAGAATCTTACTGAACTT